AGGGTTAGGTTTAGGGTTAGGGTTAGGGTTAGGGTTAGGGTTAGGGTCAGGGTCAGGGTTAGGGTTAAAGTTAGGACATCGTTTATTTTCCTATTTCGTACAGACAGTAAAGTTTTGTTTCCACCTCAGAAAAGCTACTAGTCACATGCCCTAATAAAAATGTCCGACTTGGATGTGGGCGGAGTTGGGCATCTACAGGCTGTAGCCATGGAAACCAGCTCTTCTCCTTTAACTCCCGGTATCCCCCCCCTCCTCTAGCCAGACAGGAGGTAGCCCTGTCCAGCCTCTCCCCGGAAGGTTAGGGTTAGGGTTAGGTTTAGGGTTAGGGTTAGGGTTAGGGTTAGGTTAAGGGTTAGGGTTAGGTTTAGGGTCAGGGTTAGGGTTAGGGTTAGGGTTAGGTTTAGGGCCAGGGTTGAACATCGTTTCTCTTCCGATTTCATATAGACAGTAAAGTCTTGTTTCCACCTCAGAAAACCTGCTAGTCACATGCCGTAAAAAAAATGGCTGACTTCAATGTGGGAGGACTCGGACATCCATCCTTGGCTTCCTACAGGCTGTAGCCATGGAAACCGTCTCTTCCCCCCTCCCTTAACTCCCGGTATCCCCCCCCTCCTCTAGCCAGACAGGAGGTGGCTCTGTCCAGCCTTTCTCCTGAGGAGCCCAGCACCATCATCCAGTTCACCTACGCCTCCAACGCGCAGATGTTCTCTCTGCTCAAGAGGACGGCCGCCAAATGTTCCCAGATCTCCCGGGCCTACAGCATCGGCCGCAGCCAGGAGGGCCGCGACCTGCTGGTCATCGAGTTCAGCAGCAACCCCGGGCACCACGAGCTGCGTGAGTCAGAAAGAGAGGCCTCCAGAAACTACACAACTTTAACATTACAGCTCCTTTAACTCATTGACTGGCGGCCATTTTCAGAACAGAGAGTCCCATACTGCCAGAGTTTTTTTTGAGCATTTTGACTGATTTTTCATTCAAGAGACACAGAATAGTTTGTGCTATGACTATGTAAACAACGAACACACCAAAAGAAAGAGTAGACTCTCTTCTTTCATCAGGAAAAAAAATTTTGTTTCTACCTTATTCCGTTCTTCCTGGACTTGCGTCTCACCGGCGACATGTTCTCTCATAGCGAACCGTTACCTTTTTCTTATTTGCCTACAGTCTATGCTCATCTCCCATCAAAAGTGGCACTGCCCCCTAGAGGGTCAATTTGTTACTACATACTCTGTCTAGAAGCCTGATATTTATGGACAAGCTTTAGCAGATCGTCCCCCAGCCACTCTCGTTTAAAAACATATAAGACGTCTTTGGCAGCAAATGAGTTAATTGGCAGCTTTAATGGGGTTTTTGGTCCTATTGGATCTTATATATACAATATAATTTGTTGCGTAACTTAAAATGAGTCCTATTGTGACTGGAAAATGATGACAAAGTTCACCATCTTCAGCATTTGCATACGGACCATCTCTGATAAATACATAAGACAACTGTCAGCAACTTTTCAAAAACATTTAGAAAATAACTGAATAATCGATATCATGCAACTGTACAAGTAAATGCATCCATTTCATCCCAGAATTTAAAGAGGACAAAATACAAAAAATACAAAAATAACACACACATATATGTATATATATATATATACATATATATATTTATTTTTTGCTTAACATATATATATATAAAAAAAAAATATACATATATATATTTTTGTTTAACATATATACATATAAGGATAAAAAATAAAATATATATATTTTCTATTTTTATATATATATATATTTATATTTTTCTCATTTTTTATATGTATTTTTGTATATGTATGTTTAAAAAATATATAAATATATATAATATACTGTATATATTAGAAAAAAATATATATATACTGTATATACATACATATACATACATACATACATATATATGTGTGTGTGTGTGTGTGTGGTAACAGAAAATTTGATTGTGTTGCGACATATCCTTTCAGCAGTTCTTCCATTATCTATCTATCTATCTATCTATCTATCTATCTATCTATCTATCTATCTATCTATCTATCTATCTATCTATCTATCTATCTATCTATCTATCTATCTTTAACTTCTGTCCTCTGACCACAGTTGAGCCGGAGATAAAGCTGGTGGGAAACATGCACGGGAACGAGGTTCTGGGCCGGCAGCTGCTGCTGTACTTGGCCCAGTATTTGTGTTCGGAGTACATGCTGGGAAACCAGAGGATCCAGGCCCTGGTCAACTCCACCCGCATCCACATCCTGGCCTCCATGAACCCCGATGGCTACGAGCTGGCCGCGTCCGAGGTAGAGGATAGCACTGACCCAGCGCTCTACAACCAGGAAGTAAATATTGTTAACCGAGAAAAACAGACAAACTGCCATTATCCGCTCTCCATCTGCTGTCTGTGGAGGTGGAGGGTGGGGTACTCTGCTAAATGCCGATTGGAGCAAAACCTAAACTAACTTAGAATTTCTAAGAAATGAGAGTACTCAGGCCTCCACCTCCTGCCTGTCTGCATGCTTTCACCTCCTCTTTCACCACAGATATTCCCACTGTGATGCAGGGTTGTCACGATACTAAAATTTGATACCGATACTCAGGAAAATATTCAATACTCGATACCATTTGATACCACAAGGATAAAAACAAAGACCCCCAAATTAAACTGAATTTTGACAGGTTAGTGTCTTTCGTTTCAAACTGACCTGTTACTAATGTTATCGTGGCCCACGTTAATGACCCTAACCCTGACCCTGACCCTAACCCTAACCCTAACCCTGACCCTAACCCTAGCCCTAACCCTAATCCTGACCCTAAACCTGACCCTTACCCTAACCCTGATCCTAAACCTAACCCTAACCCTGATCCTAAACCTAAACCTAACCCTGACCCTAAACCCCTCCAGCTTTCATTATTGTGAGAAATAAATATTTTTTGGTTAAAAACTAGTTTGGACTTTGGACCTATTTAACATCCACTATTTTAACATAATATTATGTATAGAGTTTAATTCAGTGTTTGCAAGATTCATTTCACTATTTTTAAATGAATGTCTATATTGCCATCAAGCAATTAGGATTTTCTTGCCTGGGATCTTCCTATTGGTGACATAATCAAAATGGCCGACTTGGATGTGGGGGAGTTGGATATCCATCCTTGTTCCTGCAGTCTGCAGCCAGACGTACTTAATTAATGTTGGTGTGTTATTATTAGCCATTAGCCGCAGCTAGCAATTCAAGGCTAACGTCACGTTAATGATCATAAACAACGTAAATAAATAAATCAGAGAGAAGGGTCACGGGGGATGATATAGATTCTTTTGAAAATGAGTATTGATACTTTT